GGGATTAGTGTTAAGGAAAATATAATGTCATGCAAGAAATTTGATTAGTTTATGTTAGCAGATTTGTCATTGCACCTCGAGCGGTGATAAATGGATAAGAGAGATCTCATATATATGGATATTTGAAATGGTGAGGAGAAGTGGTAGAAGTTTGACAAAAAAATTAACAACATATATTCTTTACAGAAAGTTTCAGGGTACAATTGAAGAAATGCGCACAGGTTTTAAGTTGGGCGCCACTCAGAAGCAGTCACTTCAATCCGAGAGCTCTGGTTCATTGTTTACAAATGAAGTGAAATGGAGTCATTGTTGAAAACGGTAAAATTTATAGTTCAGATCCACTTCGGTATATCGGGATATAAACCCAAAATAGTTGAAAAAGGGTGAAATCAGTCCTCTATAAAAGACTTCCAAAATGTTGATATCTTGAAACTAATTATCTACACAAATTTGTATTCCCTTGAAAGCCAATTTCCTTATTGACCGTCACCATCATCATCGACATCTATCACATAGTCATCAGTTTTAATTGCACGATATTTTTATTGTTGTTGCATCAACTCTTCAATCTCAGACAATTGAGTTATTATGCGAATGTTTGCCATGAGATCTCTACACATTTAACCTGTCTGGTGTTCATCCACGTACATTTTTAAGGTCATTAAACAATTATGTCGACAACTAGTAAAAAAATTGAACCATGTTTTTTGAATGGGAGGAAGAAAAATCGGAAAAATGTAACGGGGGGAAAAAATTATGGTTGATTATATCTTTCACCACACTGTAGTTCAGGGTAGGGATAAGTAAATCGACTTTCGAATATAGATTAATCGACTTTTTGAAAAGTCAAAAAGTCGGAGTCGATTTATATAAAAAAATATATATATAAAAGTCGAAATCGATTCAGGTTTGACAAAGTCGAAAGATCAACCAGTAAGGAAAGTTAAAAAGTCGGACGGGGCCGACTATATGATACCCTTCACCACTATGGGTACATGCAAGACATGTTAATATCTACAATATCCTGTAGATATAGAAATTTCGCATACATCAGTCGGGCGCTAATTCAGTATTCTGTGCAAAATTTTGTCTCAATCGGATAAATATTGGCAGTATGGAGTTTCATTTACATAAAATGGGACGAAACTATATATAGCAGCTATATCTAAATCTGAACCGATTCCAAAAAAAAATTCACGTACATCAGTCGGGACCTAATTCAGTACTCTGTGCAAAACTTTGCTTTAGTCACTATTGCTTTGATGCACTATTTACATTAAATCGGACGAAACTATAAATTGGAGCTATATCTAAATCTGAACCTATTTCAACAAATAGGTAGCACAGTGTGGTGCAGGGTAAAAAATGGCCCCCTTACCATATAGGTCTACAAAAAACCAAATTACAAAGAATTTGGTTGAAAAACGCGCTCAAGAACACCAAAATACCGAAAATCGGGGGTTACCCTTATTTGGGGGCTACCCGAAAAAATGGACCTATATTTATAATTCATAGTGGAGAGATTTGCTACCTAGTAAGAGCTCGATGACTAAATTACAATCAATTCGGGTACCGTTATATGAGGACTACCAGAACAACTGGACCTATATTTATAATTTTTAGTGGAGGAATTTGATACCCAATAAGAACCCAATGTACAAAATTTCAGAGAATTCAGTTATAAAACGAGCCCAAGAACCCGAAAATTCCGAAAATTGGGGGTACCCTTATATGGGGGCTATCCGAAAAAATGGCCCTTAATTTATAATTTTTGGTAGGGAGATTTGCTACCCAATTAGAACTCAAAGTACCAAATTTCAGCGAATTCGGTTGAAAAATGCGATAAAAACCTCTAAAATGCCGAACATTGGGGGTACCCTTATACGGGGGCTATCCGAAAAAATGGACCTTTATTTAAAACCAAATTTCAGCGAATTCAGTTAAAAAACGCGCTCAAGAACCTCAAAATACCGAAGATTTGGGAGTACCCTAATATGGGAGCTATGCCTAAACGTGGACCGATTTTCTCCAATTTTAATAGGGTTCGTCCTTGGGCCAATTAAGTGACCTGTGCCAAATATCATCCAAATCGGATGATAAATGCGACCTGTACTTTGTTAACAAAAATACATGTACGGACAGACGGACATGCATAAATCGACTCAAAAAGTGATTCTATGCATATTCTCAAAAGGAACCATGGGTCTATCTCGATTATTTTTGCCTGTTATAAACATATGCACAAAGACATAATACCCTGTACCACAGTGTGGGGAGGGTATAAAATGTCGACAATATGTGCCAACTATAGAGGAATAAGTCCCATCGCATATAAACTACTATCCACGTGCTGTGCGAACGACTGAAGCCAAAGGTCAATGACATTATTGGAATATACCAATCGACCTGCGGCATATCTTGGAAAAAACACATCGACATATTCCACCTATTCGTCGACTATAAAGCCGCATTCGACAGCCCCATCCGTTCAGATGTGTTTAAAGCCATGTCTGCGTTTGGCATTCCTGCAAAATGAATACGGTTATGCAGGATAACTTTAACTGGTAAAAAGTTAGTGGGAAACTTGTGACCTTTTTAACATCCTGCTGGAAAAGGTCATACGAGATGCAAATGTGAACAGAAATGACATTCTGTACACCAAACAGCGTATGTTACTCGCCCACGCCGACGACATCGACATAATGGGTCGAACATTGCGAGCGGTAACAGCCATCTTTGAACGAATTGAGAAAGTGTCTGCCAAAGTGGAACTCGCAGTAAATAGCGAAAAGACCAAGCTGATGGTATCAACGCGTAAGATGTCCAGTAGACACGGACCAACTGTGGAACATGAAAACTACAGCATCGAAGTAACCAAAGATTTTATATAACTAATAACATTAGTTTTGAAATCCGGAGTAGAATAGTGTTGGTCAACAGATGCTACTATGGTCTGAGTAAGCAACTTAAAAGCAAGGCCACCTCTCGTCAGACCAAACTTACACTCTACAAGGCGCTTATATTATTATTGCATGGATCTGAAGCTTGGGTACTTGCGCAAGCATATGAGGCATGGAGTGTTTGAGATAAAAATTCTCCGAAAGATCTATGAGCCGATCTGCGTCGATGGTGAATATCGCCGTCGAATGAACCATGACCTATACCATCTATTCTCGGACATCACATAGTCAGACGGATCAATCTGCAGCGATTACGTTGTCTAGGCCATCTTGTGGGAATGGATGAAGATGACCGGCTCAAAAGGCATATAAAAGCGAGCCAAGTGATGGTTCACGCAGAAGGGGGAGGCCACGAATCCGATGGAAAGATCAAGTAGAAGACAACATCTCGGAAAATTGAAAAAAATGGATGAGATGCGCGCAAGACCGACGCGCCTTGAAATCTTTTTAAGCTCAGCTTATGGAACGAAAGTTCTGTCATAAGCCAGCTAAGTAAATAAGTACGTATCCCTGGTTCAGGGTATATCTTTGTACAAGTTTGTAACATCCATGTGTCTGTCCATGTTAAATTGTAAACAAAGTACAGTTCGCATTTATGCTCCGATTTAGATGCAATTGGGCAAAACTCATTTATTTATTTATTTGAAATTTGGATAAAATCTGTTCCGATTTAGTTATAGATCCCATATATTTGGTATTTTCGGCCGATTTTGTGTAAATGATGCACCAAACTCCGATCTAGCGTTTTAAATTGAGACTAGAATGATGTGTGTTAAGTTTCGTTGAAATCGATTCAGATTTAAATATAGCACCCACATATATTTTTTCGTCTGATTTTCTGTAAATGGGGCACCAAACACCGGTTGAGATGAAATTTTGGATAGAGCATTAAATTGGAACTAGAATGATGTGTGTTAAGTTTTGTTGAAATCGGTTCAGATTTGGATATAGCTTCCATATATATTTTCAGTCGATATATATGGTGAACCAAACTCCCAAGGTATGTCCGATTGTGAAGAAATTTTGCATAGCGTATTTAACAGCAAATAATGCACCAAACACACAGGTTTGTGCTATTGTGACGAGATTTAGTAGAACGTTCCATGTTGAGATTAGAATGATGTGTTTTAAATTTTGTTGAAATCAGTTTATATTTGGATATATCTCCCATATATATATATATATATATATATATATATATTATCAGCCGATTTTATATAAATGGTGAACCAAATTCCCAATGTTTGTCCGATTGTGTCGAAATTTAGAACAAGGTACTAAATTGAAACTAGAAAGATGTGTGTCAGGTTGTGTTGAAATCGGTCCAAATGTAGATATAGCCCCATAAATCTTTTCGGCCGATTTTATGTAAATGGTGCACCAAACTAAGGCTATGTCCGTTTTGTAAGACTGGCTTATGTGTATTTTAAACAGCTAATATTTGACCCTCTTTATATGGCAGCAAAAACTACTCTCTAGTTTAGATTGCCCACCAAGGTGTTACTTCATTAAAATATTTACGCAACTTATCTTTAATATATTACCTGTCCTGTCCAAAAAAATAGTAATCACCAAGCAATGAAATGATATGCATGCCATACCCATAACCTGGGCTGGCCTAGCCTATCCAATTGTCAACAGTATATATTGTGAAAATCCCCAAAAAACACACACACTCACACAAAGATGCCGCCAAGTCTATGGCAGACAAATACATTATACACCAGACGGATTGTGGAATCTCTGATAAAGAAGAAGAAGAATTGTAAATTACCAATATTAAAGTTTAATTAAAGAAACATGAACGTGTCTGCTTTGGTAAGTAAACAAACTAATCGTCGCAAAGTGTTTATGACTCGTTTGCACAATAATTGTCACAAACAGCGGGGCCCATCTAACTAACTGCCTAGCTGTCTGTCGGATTGTCTAGACCAAGGAGTAACAACAAAGATTTAAATAATAGTCAACGTTTTGTTGTTGTTGTTTTTTGGTCGTTTGGCATCAAGGAAATGTTGCAAATGATTGGGTCAACCTCTTCACCTGATGAGCATCAGCGCAGGCATGCCATCTAGCCCAATCGCACGATGGCCATGTTTGTATTGTGTAGATGACGGCTCCTTTATTATTCGCCTTGTTACTGTTGTTGTTTTTGTAATAATCCATGTTAACCGGTTTTCATTTTATTTGTTATCCACTTTATGTTGTTAGTCATAGCGTAGGATCCACCATTGTGACAGGCGCAAGATTCAAATGTACGTTACTGTGTTAACAGTGCCATCTATGATCCTCCATACGCCACCAGCATTTCCATCAGTTGCTGCCAAAGTTGTTGTTCAACTACTGTTCCGTTTTGCTTTCCTCCGTCTTGGGATTTTGTTGGAAAAAAGTGCTGGTTTTTTTTGTCGATTATATAATATAGTCAGTATACAATGACAACGAAGACGAGGCGACAAGGAAGAAGACAATGGATGGTGTATTTGATGCACGCCATAAAACATCGATTCATTTCATTTTTCCAGCGATTTTTTTTTTCGTTTCTCTCACTCCTTTGCAAGTGTGATTTTTATGTTTCGATGTCGTTGTTGTTACATTGGCGGGAGAGTGTAACCTGACATACAGACAGGCTGGAGGCAGGCATTATGTGAACTGTGTCAAATTAAATGATCATGTCATATTTGGGGATATGGTTGATAGATTAGGCCAATATTTAAAAAAAAAATTGTTTATTTTTAATAAAAAAATATTTATTGGGGAACTCCTTTCTACTATAAGGACACTTGTATGAGTGGAATTTTTTAAATGCCTTTTTAAAGGACTCAAAAAAAAACATAAAAAAAAAATTGTTTTTTTTATAGGTGGAATTGAAAAAATTATAATGTTTAGCTAACCTCAGATTAAAAAACATCGAAGTCTATTTTTTAAACTATTTTTTTCAATTGTTTAAATATATTGTTCAAGGCTGAAATCCTTGATATTTTTTGACAAAAATAATTATGTTATCTTATTAAGTGTCTTTTACGACTACCTCGCGGAGATGTCCAAATCCATCCCGGCTAACCCGTCGACACCCTTAGGGCAGGCCCATCTCGATCTCTAAACTGGTATAACGGGCGACCCCGGACCGTGAACGCTGTATAGGCTTTAACACATCATCCAGTTCGATTTGCTAGAAGGCATATTTCATATCGACACTGCTGATGTTTCGTTAATTCTACTTAGGATGACATCAATATTATGGAGCGCGTCCTTAACGGTTAAGTTGTTCAAATTCCTGGTATCTATAGAGAACCGATTCTTTTCGGGATTACTGGCAGTGTTTGTTCGGTTACTCCACGGACTGTTACTTTCCTCTATCACATTAAGACGTAGCATATTGTATATTTCATCGTATACTATTGCCTGTACGGTAGGCGAAATTGGAATATGGCGCCCAAACCAAAGAAGACATCGTGGCCCAAACCAAAGAAGAAGTGTAGGAGACCAAAAAAGGAACGGAACGCGTTATTTTAGCTCTAATTTGGTAAGTTGTGTACAAATTCTTCCCAATCGGAAAAACTTTTGTTATTTGCTACATCATTTAGATGAAATCGATTTCAACAAATTTCGATTTAAATCCAATACTCTTGGCAATATTTCATATTTCTGTAATAAATAAAACAAACATAGGCTTCTCGGTGTTCCATTTACGTAAAATCGGACGAAAATATATATGGGAGCTATTTATAAATCTGAATCTGTCTCAATCGGACAAACCATGGGAGTTTGGTGCACCATTAACCTAAAATCGGGCCTTACTATATATGGGAGCTTTATAAAAATCTGAACCGATTTTAACAAAACTTTACAGACTTGAAGTTGGACCTAATATAGTACTCTGTGCGAAATTTTGTCTCAATCGGACCAATATTGGCAGTATGGTGCTCCATTTACATACAATCGGACGAAACTATGAGAGTTATACCTAAATCTGAATCGATTTCAACAAAACTAGGTATACATGAATCTAGACCTAATTCAGTACTCTGTGCAAAATATTGTCTCAATCGGACGAATATTGTAAGTTTGGTGCACCATTTACATAAAATCGGACGAAACTATATATGGGAGCTATATCCAACCGAAGAGGCTGTAATTTGGCATTCCGATTTTTTAGGGCTGACATACAGAAAATTGTCGATATAAGTCCACGATTTTGTTTTGAATGTTTTAGCCGAATTTTCATACCGAAATTAAATAAATTCCGAAATTCCGCGTTCTTAGAGTGTTCATGTTTTAACCTAGCATACAAGAAGAGGTTTTTGTCGTATTTAGCTTTCCGGATTCCTGCTAAATGTTTTTCATTTGTTTACCAGAAAATTATAAATATATGTATGTAGGTCCAGAGACCACTCCAGAATCGTGGAGGATATTTTGAGGTTTGAGCAGAATTTTCCCATTAAAGTGGTAATAATTTGGCATTTTGGATTTTTGGAGGGTGATAAATAATTTTCAGAACTATTTCGGATTTAATGTTGATAAAATTTTATAAAATATTGACCATTTGTGAGGGACCGGAGGTACCGGAAGGAGTGATCTACTGGGTCCCATTTTGGGACTTTATATAGGGTTGGTAAAGGTAATAGGTTCTGCAATGTTTGGTTGAAATTCGCCTGATATTGCATTTATAAATATTGAAAATTTTACTTTTTGGGGGGGAGGTCCAAAAAGGAGTGGACCAATGGGTCCCATCTTTGGAATTAATCTAGACTTCGTAAAGATAATGGTCTGTGCAAAGTTTGGTTCATATCGGGCATTCCATTCGCCTGATATTGGATATACAAATATTGAAAATTTTAACTCTTTGTGGGGGAGGTACCAGAACGAGTGGACCAATGGGTCCTATCTTTGAACGTGATCTGAGCTTGGTAAAGGTAATAGGTTTTTCAAAGTTTGGTTCAAATCGAACATTCCATTAGCCTGATATTGGGTTTATAAATATTGAAAATTTTGACCATCTGTGGGGAAGGTACCAGAAGGAGTGGACCAATGGGTCCCATCTTCAAACTTAATTTAGACGTCGTAATAATAATGGATTGTCCATTCACCTGATATTGGATTTACAAATATTGACAATTTTGACCATTTGTGGGAGAGGTATTAGAAGGAGCGTACCAATCGGTCCCATCTTCCTACTTGATCTAGGCTTGGTAAAGATAATAGATTGTAAAAAGTTTCATTAAAATCGGATAGTCCGTTTGTATTTTTAGGCTTCCTTGCAACCGAATTGGCTGTAATTTTCATTTCATTTTTTAATTTTACAAAAATTCGCCTTCAAACAAAAATGTCATTTACTATTACCTGTGGCCTGTGGCCCGACTGAACTTAACAATGTTTTTACTTGTTAGAATACTATTTCAAAGTTTAAATCACTTAGAGGCCGGGGCTTTTGGATATTGTCTTTACAAGCGATCTGTTGTTAATAACGGTAACGGTATTATAGCCGATTTTCCGGAAGTTCATGTTTGATACTTTTAAAAATTAAAAACCAGTAAGGATAGTAGTAAAGTCGGACGGGCCGACTATATGATACCCTTCACCACTTTGGGCATATTCAACAGATTAATCCTAACAGACGTCGCATTTTTAAAGGACAAGTAAAATTAAATTGGATCCATAAACATGTCATTCTGCAGCCGATATTAAATTTTTCAATTGGTTAGATATAAAAGCTACATCTAAATCTGAACCGATTTTCACGAAACTTAACACACATCATTCTAAACCTAATGTGCCAAATTTCGTGCAAATCGAAAGATGTTAAGGGACTTTGGTGGACCATTTACCTTAAATCGGACGAAAATATATATTGAAGCTGTATCTAAATCTGAACCGATTTTCACGAAACTTAGCACACATCATTCTAGGCCTAATTCATTACGCTATGCCAAATTTCGTGCAAATCGAAAGATATATAGGGGCTTTAGTGCACTATTTACATTAAATCGGACGAAAATATATATGGCAGCTATATCTAAATCTGAACCGATTTTCAGGAAACTTAACGCACATCATTCTAAACCTAATTCATTACATTAAATCGGACGAAAATATATATGGGAGCTATATATAAATCTTAATCGATTTTTCCAATTTCAATAGGGTTTATCCTTGGGCAAAATAAGTGAGCTATGCCAAATTTCATCCAAATCGGATCATAAATGCGACCTGTACTTTGTTCACAAAAATGCATGGACGGACGGACAGACGGACAGGCGTAAATCGACTCAGAACGTGATTCTTTGCATATTCTCTAAAGGGACCATGTGTCTATCTCATTTCCTTTTGCCTGTTACAAACATATGCACAAAGACATAATACCCTGTACCACAGTGTGGTGAAGGGTATAAAAAGAGATATTGTTTCTGGCTCCACTGTAATTGAAATTCGACGACTTCGGAAAACAATGGAAATAAAACCAAGCAATTGTTAATCGTATTATGATTTATTACTTTTCACCCATTATTTAACCTAAAGTGCACAAATAAATTGTATTTATGTTTGTATGTCGTGCGATGAGATTCAAGTAACACGTGTGCCTCGTGTACACCTATGTTACAGCCATATGCCAAACTGTATGCCATATAAGGTCTAATTGTGAGTTCACATAGCTTTACACTTGGCATACCTGGCGCGAACTTTTCGGTTACATCATGGTGAATGAAGGTGCATCTTGGTGGCATGAAGTACAAACATCGTGTCAGATTCACAACTGCAAACTACCAATGATTTTGGTTATTACAGTAACAGAAACATATTGGGAGGGGGATGCGGGGAAGTAGTACCAGTGTTGCCAAAACATGGTTGAGAAAAAATGCTAGATTTTGTTGAAAAAAATGCTAAAAAGTGCTAAAAATTTTAGAAAAGTGCCAGAAAAAAGTGCTAAAAAGTAATATAAAGATATTTACTTTTATTTTTTAATTATATCTTTATTTCCTTGAAAATTATGTATATACTTAAATACGAATAAGGAACTTGAAGTTAACAACTATGTTGTGGGTGTATTATAAGTGTTTGTGTTTCAACAGTTTGTAACGTCACGAAATATTGGTCCTGGACTCACATTTTAGTATACGGATCGTCATATCTAGACTAGCTGAGTCGATATGGATATGCGTGTATATCCATTAACATTTGTAAACAAAGTAACGTTCACAGCTATGAAACATTTGTCACGGTATTTTGCATATGCGGTTATGTCCAGTGAAGACACTTATTTTGTTCGGTAAAATCGGTCAATATTTGACAGTTGAAGTCAACCACAAGCATTTTATATGTTTTTCTGGTCTCTCTAGAGGACATAAAACTGTACATGGGGGAAACGCTAATGAATAAGCATATTGACCAAGACGTTTGTGTAAAAAAAATTTTGCAAATTTTCCATTTAATGTCGTATACATTTATTCTAGAAGGACAGAGACCGGTGTGGAAGCTATACGTATATATATACCACCAGACCACCAGGACTTCTATAAGAATGCATACATCTCCTCAATAAGATGACCTACAGTTCTATTCTATCACTAGATCAAAGCTATGCAATTTTGCACAAAATTCCGGTTATGGGGTGATGTGTGGCATCTATAGGTTAAAGCAGATGAAATGAACCAAGAAGAGTATTTTTTTTGTCTAGATGCCACAACGAAAAGCATGATAGTAATCTGGCAGTATTTTCGTATTTTGGGTTCATTTGAATGACACATATCCGTACCAAAAATTGTTAATATTGACCCAAGTTTCAATATAACGGTACCCCCGGTATTCGCAATTCTAGACATTTTGGGCACGTTTTTTCACCGAAATGGCTTATGGGTATTTTTGACACGTTTTCAATCAAATTTTTGGGTTCTCATTGTATAGCACATTTCCGTACTAATAATTTTAATATTGACCTCCGTTTAAGTGTAGCCCCCTTAATATGGCACCCTCCAATATAACGGTATCACCACATCTCCGCAATAAAAATTATTAATATTGACCCAAGTTGATATTTTGAGAATTTTGGACACGTTTTTCAACGATATTGACTGTAATTTAGTATTTTGCATTCTCAAAACGATAATTTTTTTGGAGTAATACTAACATTTTTTTAAAATTCTGGAACAAATTAAAAATGCTAAAAAAAGTGCTAGGTGCTAGATCAATTTTTTTGGTGCTAAACGAGTTTGAAAAGTGCTAAATCTAGCACTAAAAGTGCTAAATTGGCAACACTGAGTAGTACATGTAAATGGGCAGGAAATGATGGTTGCAAAATATTATTTTATTTTTTGCTTTTGTTGCCAACATGATTTGGTAAAATATTATTAACATTTTTTTTTTCAAAAATTTCCTATATAACTAAATATTCACCTCAAGGCGTAATCATTAGCGGGGAAGAGCAAAGATTAGTGGGGTCCTTTAAATTTTTTCGTTTGCTATTGGAGTTAGACATGTTTTCGTAATTTATTAAATATGAGTAGGTCAGAGGCAACATTCCCCCTCCATAGTATCCCACCCGAAATAATCAAAGTTACGCCACTGGCGTCTTCCCAAAATTATACAGTCTTATGAAATATTATAGGATTGCAAATGAAATTATGATATTGTTGTTGCTGATGATGATGATGAATGTACATCGAGGTAATTGTTGAACATTTTTGACATCTAAATAAATGTTATGGGAGTGTTAACTTTGTTTAGGGTATTGTAGAAAAATTGCTGTGAAGATGACAAAAAAAAAAAATCTGCATGACATAGCCCGGAAGAGTGTGTTTTACGGTATGTGAATTAAAATACATACACTCAGTCAAAAAAATTGAATGTCGATAAGAAAATGCTGAAACAAGTCAATAGGGAAGGACCGAACTTTTTGAAACCTGCACCATAAGGTATAAATTTAATTAAATATCTAAAGTCGGTCGGGATTTTTATATGGAGACAATGTCATTGTCTAGAAATGAGGTCATGGGCGAAAGATACCCACAAAATTCTTTGCAACGAAGGGGGAATGGGGTGTTCCAAAGTTCGGACTGGTTCACATTTGTATACCCTCCACGTAGTGGAGGTGCATTCAAAATTCCTACAGGCGATCGGGACATTTATATTTTATTCTGTTATGGGGTTATGTGATAGTGGGTCGTTCATCCTACTACAAAATTGTGTTCCAAATTACACTTGGTAAATATAAACAGAGGAGTGGACCGAAGTTCCCCATCTTCGAACTTGAACTAAGTTTGGAAAAAATAATAAGATGGTCAAAGATTGGATGAAATCAAAATTTTCTGAAAAAAAAATTTGGTCCAAAGAAACATGGACCAATAATTCGATGAGGTATATTTTCACCGCTCACTAGCCATAAGGCTGAAGGTATAATCATCGACTAAAAATTTCTGAAATTTGTATTATGGTTTACATAATCGGCTTGTAGAAACGTCGGTATTGGTTCACTTTTTGGTATTTTCCCTATATTTTCATTTCAAGTACCTGTCAGTATATCTATGGTGGAGGGTATCCAAAGATCGGCCAAAACGAACTTAACGCTTTTTCACTTGTTTAATTTTTTATTCACCAGGAATCCTTACTTAGCTGGCTTATGGCAAAACATTTGTTCCATAAACCGAGCTTAAAAAAGATTCAATGCGCGTCGGTCTTGTGCACAGCTCTACCAATTTTAAAGACCATGTTCCGAAATGTTGTCTACCACTTGATCTTTCCATCGAATTCTTGGCCTTTCCTTTCTGCGTGAACCATCACTTGGCTCGCTTTTATATGCCATAACCTAGCCAACGTAGTCGCTGCAGCTCGATACGTCTGACTATGTCGATGTCAGAGAATATATGATACAACTCATGGTTCATTCGACGGTGATATTAACCGTTCACGCAGATCAGCTTATAGATCTTTCGGAGAATTTTTCTCTCAAAGACTGCAAGAGCTGCCTCATCTGCTTGCGAAAGTACCCATGCTTCAGATCCATACACCAGCACGGGTAGTATCAGCGTTTTGTAGAGTGTCAGTTTGGTCTGACGAGAAGTGGCTTTTATTCTAAGTTGCTTACTTATACCATACTATGGCGGTACCAAAGTATATACAATTTTTGATTACCTCGAAGCTGTAGATCTCATGTTCCACAGTTGGTCCGAGACTTCTGGACGTCTTGTGCGTTGATACCATCAGCTTGGTCTTCTCGCCATTTACTGCCAGACCCACTTTGGCAGACTTCATCTATGGCGATGTGTTCTTTGTTTCACAGAGTACCATTTCTGTTCACCTTTGCATTTCGTATGTCCTTTTCCAGCAGGATTCTAAACAGGTCGCACGAAAAACTGTCACCTTATCTGAATTCTCGTTTGGCATTGAAGGGCGCCGAGAGGTCCTTTCCTACTTTCATTGCTGTCATTGTACCAGTTAAACTTATCATGCAGTAATGCCGAACGCAGACATGGTTTTAAACACATCTGAACGGATAGGGCTGTCGAATGCGGCTTTATTTCCGACGAATAAGTGAATTGTGTCGATGTGTTTTTCGTGGGTCTTTTCCAAGTTTTGGCGCAGTGTGAAAATCTGGTCAATGGTGGATTTGCAAGGTTGAAGCGGCATTTATATGGTCCAATAATGTCATTGACCATTGGCTTCAGTCGTTCACACAGTACATTTTATATGCAATGGAAAGGTTTTTTGATGTTGGCACATACCCTTGTGTTGCTTTTGCTGCAGTGGGCAATTCATTGCCATTGAGCTTCTATATTATGTTTGGGACACGGGGCTTTCGTCAAGCAAGTGGGTAAGTTGAGCGGAGCAGGCTTCTGCTATTTGTTGTGTCTGCAGCTTTTCGACGTCGAGTTTTCGTATTGTGTTAGATCGCATCTTTGCTGCTACATTAAGACGAGTGGGTACCTGCTACAAGGTGGTGGTCCGAATCGATATTCGCTCTTCAGATCGATCGAACGTCTAAAACACTAGATGAATGCCTTCATTCTGTCGCAACATGACCAATTTGATTTCACGTTGTTTGATCGGGAGAAATCCAGTGGCCTTGTGTATATCGAGATGCTGCTAACTACCACATTTTCTCTTCCATTGTTTGCATTAAAATCTCCTAGCAGAATTGTAATGTCATAGCCAGGACAGTGGTTATATGCTGTTTCTAGGCGCTCGTAAAAAATGTCTTTGGTATGTTCTTCTTTGTCTTCCGTCGGAGCATGGACGCAAATAAGACTGATGTAGAAGAACTTCGCTTTTATACGGTTTATAGCAATTCGCTCATCTACTTGAGTGAATCTGGAGATGACCATAAATCCGCAGCCAAATTCATTTCTCGTTTCATGGCAGCTACAATACGTGGCGTAATCATTTTATTTACTTACTTTACCTGCCCCTTTTCATTTCTGCAGGGTGGTCAGTGTTCACAATTGCGATGAAAGAGGGACCATATTAAAGCCAATCAATTTTCCCATAAAACTGCTACAGTACTTTAGTAAGCTGACAAAAAATTGACAATTTTATTATAGTCTTTTGTTCACGTACAACATCAGTTTGTTTTGAGACGTGTTTTTAGGCTCTTATTATGAATAGGAGGAGAGGCTCTGTGAATGCTTATAAAATAACTTATTTTGTATTTTATTTCAAATGTTTTGGCAGTCGTTGAAGTTACAAATATTATAAGTATTTTAAATTCTTCAAATGAGTTCAAGAATCCTAACAAAAACTAAAAACACAAAACAACGAAACAAATAACATAAAATTAAGGAAAATACAAATAATACAAAAACACATTTAAAATTATGAGTTAAGTTGTGGAAATGTCCCCATCCTGAAGATTAGGCTTAATCACTGAATTCATCACGTTCTTCGCGTCTTGATATTCTACTTGCGGATCTTGTTACACTTGAGCGTGTTGTTGTTTTGTGTACAGAATTTATTGGTGTTAAATGACGTCCTACAGCTCTTTGTCTTCCAGCTGATGAGGTAGATGCTCCTAGACTATAACGTAATCTACTGCTATTTTGTGGTGTTCCACTTCGAGATATGTTATCACCATCATTATTATAATCTTCATCTTCGCTAATATCATCTTGTAAAGGTTGGCGCGAAGTAGAACGACGTGATTTATTGTAAGTATGGTGATTATGTTCTTCACTTTCACTATCCTCCAATATAATATCTGAATCATTGCTATCATCATCTTCATCGTATTTGGACGATTCAAAACGTAAAATTTCTTCATCGCGCAAGTGAGAGGCACCCTCAACAAAGGCGGCAAAACGTAAGGGGTCACGTAGCTTACACATAACCTAATGAAATAAACCGCAAGCTATAGAATTTTGAATTTCTTGACAAACATTTGAAACCACTCACCCTCCATTGATTACAATTGGGGCTGCTAGCATATTGCCGCAATTCTTCCAAAGCTTTGGTTGTCTCACGCACTCCCTGTTCATAGTATTCTTCGTTGGTAAGCAGCCGACGTTTGGGTGGAAATTTACGCAACCAGAAAGCACGACATTTATACCATAGAGAGCGTGGGAAGTAATGCAAAACGATGGTAATTATAATTATTGCTGCAGTTGCCTCCTCATAATAACTGGACAAATAAATGAGCAGTAGCGACATCAATTGTAACAGCCATTTGATAATATTTTTGGAACGTTTATTTGTCGGCGGTCCCCAACGATAGCAGAAGAAGAAGGAAACAACACCAGTTATTAAAATATACCAAAAGACATAGGTGCGATAGGTCACAATAATGACTTGCAGATTTTCCCACAACATTTGTATGACATATAAACCAATGGTCCAGCCGCCAATCAATACACCATACATCATGGTACGTCTGAAAAGATAGAAAGTCATAGAAAGAATATTTGATTATTTTTGGATAATCAGAAATCGAGAGGGGGATGCTCAAAGGAAACTATGGAATCCTCGCTGACAACTTAAGCACTAAGAAGTGCAATCAATGCCCAAAGAAACACTAAATGAAACATTGGAGGTCAATCTTTTACGGCCAGAGATATGTCTACTAAGACCCTAGTGTAATCAAAGAAAATGAATGCATTCGGTTAAAGGGAAAAATGTAAAAGGTCGTGAGTAAGCATGAACGTTCCTACCCTCAGCCACTAGGGTCGACTTACAAACAGCATCATGTGTACTGTTCCGAAGGAAACCATAAACTCCTCACAGCTCTTGGCTATTAAGAAAACCAGTAAAGGAAGTTCAAAAATTGTTCGCCGACTATATGATATCCTTCACCACTTTGGGTACATACAAGAGATGCTCATATGTACAATATCCTAACCTTTAGTAAGTTTAATATGGTATGAAAAATTTTGTTTCAATCGGAAAACATTGATTGTATAGAGCTCCATTTACATAAAGTCGGAGTTAAATTTTCCGGAAGTAAGCAAATTGCTACACATTTTGAGGTATTCATCTTAATGGCCCAAGATTCATAAAAATTTTTACATGCTTATTTATATGAACTGACACTAGTGATAGAGTATACAATGTCATCCCCTAATCCTAATTTAATTAGGCATCGGAATGTTTTATTAAAACTGAATCCATTTTATTGCTGTTTTCTTATTGGAAACTTGTCTATCCACAAACAGATTTCTTACAATAAAAATTTCTAAAGAAATATACAAAAAAAATCTCACTTACCTTGGTACAAGTTTGCTTGACAACCATATCAGCAGCATAAATGATGAACATATACCCAAAGCTACACCAGTAATATAATAAAAAAGGGAATTATGCGATAATTTCCCCGCATATTGGAATACCAAACAACCAATTATCAATTGAAGGACACGCCAGAAATCAACGCGTACCTTATGTAAACGTATACGATAGGGTTCAATCGTTTCAATGCCCATACAACTGGAAACGAACGGTGACAGAGATAGACGAGCACGTTTCTGACTAAACAAATTGAAGCTGAACAGGGAACGATGTTCATCGTAGTGTTGTTGCACTTCCTCCGGTGTTGCACCATCATATTGGGTATAATCGTCACCTTCAATTTCTAAAATCAGCTCGACAGTTTCGAAAAGACGCCTCAGTGTTCTTTCCTCGCCCTTGTAGCAATAGGTACGCAGATCCCGTTCGAAGAAGCCACGGCCGCGTCGCAAGGGTTCGTAGTTGTAGATTTCACCAGCCTCCAAATAGCGTACTAAAATCATATAGAACAACAGGGGATGCTATTATATTTTGCTTTCATCCTTGGGTAATAATATTCTGCTTACCTTTGTTATTGTTCCGTGTAGTCGCCGAGTTGGGTACAAGTTCAGCAGCTTGCGTCGCCAAAATTGAGACGAATATCAAAATTATTAAAATTTTCATTGTTCTTTCATTTGGAACTTTTAAAAATTGTTTGAAAACATTCGAACTAAAAATAGAAACTCAACAAAAACAAAACAATTTCCCAGTAGTTGGTTGTCGTTGATAACCGGCAGTGCGAAAAAAAAACAGAACAGAAGAAACGGCGGCGCGCCGAAAATTACCAAAAAACGTTTTGCACGCCGCGAATAGCAGGAGACAACAGAGAATGACCGATAAACACCAAAATCGAAACAAAATAGAAGATACTCTGTCATGTTTACGAATTAGACATGGTGAATGTCAATCAGCTGATAGCTTGATAGGCTGATTTCGAAAAGGGAACAAAGAAAAAAGAGCGGTAAAATGATTTATTGAATCTGCAAACTTTTTTTAAATATCGAATATTATAAAAAGAATCGGGATTCCAAGTGTTGGAAAACGTGAAAAATAAGCCAACGTGAAAAATAAGCCAACAGGTTTTCCTAGGCAAGTACTGTTAATTTGTTTTTGGTATATATTGGAGGAATTGGCGCAACAGCAAAAATTTGCGCAGATGGCAGGCGAAAACTAATCGAAAAAATTGGCATGGAAATTGAACCGCATTTAATCTTCAACACATTGGCGGATAACGGTAAGAATGTACTTTTTTTTGACTCAAGTCTAGGTTAAAGCCCAGTTCCCGATTGTATTGATTCTTTTGATGAAATGAAAATCTGCATACATTTTAAATGTAAAAAAATTGTCGATAGATGTATACGGCCAGCAGTTTGAGGAGTCCGATCAATTTTTATACCCTGTCATAGATCAACATAAAATTCTATGTCGATTTATAGCATGTCCATCTAGCTGTTGAAATTACGATTGAATGTTACGGCTCCATATTGAGTTTGATTAACCCTTCGACTTACTATTGGTCCCAGGTTGTGTGGATCTAGTCGCCAAGGAGCCAGAATCATACCAATGTTTCTCCCAATGAAAGTCTGCATACATTTTTAATGCAAAAAAATAATAAAAAATCGATAGATGTATACCGTCAGCGGTTTGAGGAGTCCTTGTGTCGTGGTGGATAAATTTTTATACCCTGTCATAGATCAACGTAAAATTCAATGTCGATTTATAGAATGCCCATCTGGCTGTTGAAATTACGATTGAGTGTTACGGCTCCATATTGAGTTTGATTAACACTTCGACTAACTATTGGTCTTAGGGAGGTCGATATAAATGTTTGGAGGGGCCTGCGAACCATGGAAAGGTGGGTGTGGAACTAGTCGCTAAGGAACCAGAATTATAACATAAATAGGTATGTGTTTAAAAAATAATTCTTGTTAGGCTCAAGTTTGACTGACAAGAGATCGCAATATATAGGATAAAAAAATGTTGTTAATAATCCAATGATTTGAGGTTGGAAATAAAATACATTGCTCCATGTTTTGATATAACCCCTATAACGCTACCCCCAAATATTAGGTGTTTTGGGGATTTGTGGCACGTTTTTCAATATATCGATTTGGCTGCAATTTGATATTTTCAGTATTTATTGGGTACAAATACATCTGCTCACTAAAAATGACCAATATTGGTAAGCGTATCACCCCATATAACAATAACCCATATTATTCAGTATTTTGGGAAGTTTGGTACGATTTTCTGCTAAATGGGATATAAATTAGCAATTAGCATTACCACTAGGTAGTACAACTTCCTATTAAAAATAATCGCCATTGGTCCAAATTTGCAAGTAGCCCCCAATTTTGATATTTTGTGGAGTTTAATCAAGTTTTTCAGACGAATTGCCTGTAATTTAATATTTGTAAGTAGTTTCCTACTGAAAGTTATCCATTGAAATTATATGCACACCAAACACCTATTGAAAGTTATCCATTGAAATGATCTGCCCTCCAAAATGTTGTTGTTTTGGAAAGTTTGGGCAGGATTTTCAGCCGAATTGACTGTAATTTATGTATGTATTTCTAATTACCAATTTATAGCAATGCTTCCTATTGAAAGTTTTTTTTAGAGGACAATCATCTATTTTAACTGGCTGCCATCTATAAAATATATGTCCTCTATCTGTCATCTATTTCTGTTATCTGTCATAATTGTGATCTATATTTTGAACATCTTGATCAATATTTATTTTTGTAACTAAAACAAATTAATAAATAAATTGTATGAAATTTCAGTCAAATATTTAGAAAAGGGTTCCGAATCTTAGCAGGAAATCCATATAATTGCCCACATTTTCAGTATTTAAAAAAAAAAAAAACATTTTGCAACCGAATTATCAGTAATTTTATATTTTGTGTTCTAATTGTGTAACAAATTTCCCCATAATATTATTATTTATTACATTTTGGTATTTTTACACGTTTTGCGGAATTGGCTGTGATTTGATTTTTTTCTATGTTTCTATGTATGTATTTATTTTTTATGTTTTTTTTTTTTTGTTTTAATGACTGCTAGTGTGAGCAATCTATCCCCCAGGACATGGAAAAGGCCAACTGCCTAAAGGTTTACATGAACTTTATCCAAACAATGAAGTGATTATCAGAATTTTTCCGAAGCCATAACAGGTGATGAAATCGTCCATTGATCTTGCTCTACTGAGCTCGTTAATAGAGCTCCTGATGGACTCATGTTTTCGGCATTCAAAAATTACATGATCTGTGGTTTCCTCAACATTACAAATATCGCACATAGCTGACGATTCCACTCCAAAACGAGCTAGTGTGCTGTTGCAGAAACAATGGCCAGTTAATATCCTATTGATTTCCTTGCATTTAATGGGGTCGATAGAAAATTATTTTTGTTATCTGCATTATTGCATCACCAATCGTTAGAGGGGTATTGATCTCCGTGCCCAGCACAACTAGCTCTTCCACCAGAGAATTCCCCTTCCCACCGTTCTTTACCTCCAAAATGCCACTGAGATTATCCGTTAGTACAGCTATTTTCTTAAACGGTGTTTGAAAGGGTACATGTCTGGCTCTCGTATGAACTAGGATTATTAACTTCGCTCAAAAATCAACAAAATGGCAGACCTTTGAAAGATATTGTCACCTAGTTCATACGATAGCTATACATTCACAGAGAAACGTTCCAAAATTTGGAATCGATAGGAGTATTAGTTTTTGAGTTATCGTGCCCGCCATTCGCACAAACGCTGTTTGGAGAAAAATGCGTTTAAAGTTTGAGAAGACCTCTTACCGTCATTTTATGCTATCACAATAAATCGGCTATATCTTCAAGAGTTGTTGAGATTATCACTTGAAATTTCATAGGGACATTCTTGAATTAGTATAGATTAGAACTAAATCAAATAAATGAAATTTTATATTCCGTTCGCTTCATATGAAGTTTAAATATTTTTCATCTTCTTTTAGGTTGACCATAAGGCTCGGGGTAAAAAAATAAATACCATTTCCTTTAAAATAATAAAACACATTTAAAGTTTTTTTTAGGGAAGAAAATTGTCGTAGATTATAAACGTGCATTGTTTTATTTATTTATTTTGTTGTTGTTTTTAGTTTTAATTTAGGGATAGGTACTTGTATAATGTTAAACTTAAATTTTAATTAAACAACTTTTTTCTTTTCTTTATTTATGTCTTGTTATTTATATCATTTTTTCTTCATCTTCTTTTAATTTGTTTTTTTTTCATTTAATATTATGATTCATGTTTGCGTGATTTTCTTCTTTATTTTTTTGTTTGTTTGTCTTCCTTAAATCAATTTGTTTATGTCTTTGTTTTTTTATTTACTTCTTGTTGTTGGTTTTTCTTTCTTTATTATTATTAATAATAATATATAGTCAGTATAATTTCTGTTGTTATTATTAATTAATAATAATAATATTAATATTATTATATTATAAATTAGCAAATAGAGACTTAATTAGATTAATAAAAATTTGTTATATCATTTTTATTTTTTTTATGTTACGCAAATATTCACTTGACTTAGTTTTGTTGGTTTTTTGGGGGATTTTTGTTTTGCATTTAAGAAAAGATTGCATTAAAGTTTTACACCATTGAAAGGTATTTTGCTTATGATTAAAAATATTTTTTTTTTTGTTTTCATTTAAGAGTTTTAAATATGTATATATATTTTTTTAGATTTTTTGTTTAGTTTATAGAAAAATGTATGATTTTTTTTGTTTTATTAAAATGTTATGTTTGTTTGCAACTAGAGAAGAGAATTGTTAATTTGTTTGTTTTTTTCTTAATATATAATATATTTTTTAAATGTTATGGTGACTTGCCGCTGCTGTGTGAGTGATTTATTTGCTGTTGAGTATTTGGTTTTTAATGTGATGAAAATGGATGATAAAAAATGTATAAACAACTATTAAGTAATTAAAAATTTATTTCTAATAATAAAACTTTTTTGGATATTAAAAAGAATATAAGAAATACAGATATGTAATAAAAAAGAAGGAAATAAATTTGGATTTAATAAATATAAAAAAACATCAATAAATTAAAATATAATATATTTTTGAAAAAATACCACATAAATATACACGGTAGTCTCTTGTCGACATATGATTCAATTTGTATACCCTTTGCTACGACAAAAAATGTGCCTCTTGGTTTCAGACCCCAAATTGATTAAATCAAATCAGTGTCAGACAATTGGGAGACAGTTTAAGAATCTATTAGCAATATATGTCCATCTTCTCTGGTACCTACTCACTAACATTTTTGAAAAATTCCGACAGTGGACCTCCGTTTTACACTCGTCGATTCATAATGGTTTAATATAGTTTGGCTGACAATTAATTCGCCTAAAAGTATGCTTAATTTTTATGAGCTATTTAAAATTTCATCGACTCTGCGGATAAAAGGAACACATGAGTAGAAAGAACACTGCGAAGAGAAACTTTATTTTATACAGCAAGTACTGATAAGGTCCAGACACTCGGGTCATTTTTTTTAGAAGAGCCATAGACTCACAATTTGGTTTCAATCTAAAAATGTTACACTTTTTTTTTGAAAATCTATCCAACTGCCAGGGGTTGTG